GCGTTTTGAAAGCTTTAAAAAATGTATGCTAGACTTTAAAAAATGTATTATTTCGTGTAAACAGATGAGAAAAATGTTTTTAAATTATGGATAATATTATTTTAAATTTATATCTGCAATTGTATTGAATCTTTTTAATTCATGTTCTTCATATTCAACTTCTCTACCACTATCGTTGTCTTCATCGTTATGTAGCATTTTATTTTTATTTCCATTCAATCAGATGTGTTTTTGCTTTATTTCATGTACATTTTCTCCAAATTTTTCTCTCTGAATCAACACTTTCTAGAATCTACAGATTTATATAATTTAACTCCAACGAATCATTTTTTTACTTTTTCAAATTTCTTTCAAATATTTCGTTTCCGCTTTAAAATAAATGTCTCTTCTATTAGAATTTTAAAATTTTTGTGGAAAATAACACTCCTAAAACCGTCAGCAATATTTTGAGCTTTTACTCCTATTATTCATCATGTTACAGAACTTAAATGGTTGTAAACAGGAATTCTTTCGAAAACTATTAAAATTTCCCCAATTCCCGTAACTTGGCGACTTTTTCTTACCCCATTTGAGTCGATCTATCTGTCGGATGAAATTTTTGCAGTTGTCTTCCGTTTTTTCCGACGAGTCATCACTAACATCGCATTCATCAGCAGACCTTGTCTTGCACTCTTTTGTGCGGTCACTATCGCTGCAGGTTTCAGTATCGTTGATACTACTATCTTCATCGCTATCGTCGTTTCCATCTCCATCGTTTCCACCTTCAGACTTCAGAGACGATTTCCAATTCGAAAAATTTTCTCCAATTTCTTCGTCGCATGTTGATGAGACGTTCAGAGGTTTTGGCTGTTTTCGTTGCCTCCGCTCTTTCTCACAATTTTTTTGAAAAAATTTCTCATAACGACGACAGAAATCTTTCTTCTTAATTCTAGGAATTCGTTCGCACTGATCGGATGCTTTGGTTCTTAATTTGTCAGACATTCCTTCGCAGATTTTGTTCCCAAGTTTTTCATTATCGGTGAAATCGTTTTCAGTTGAAGCTAGCACGGAGTCGATTTGTTGGCAATAGAATTTTTCATCAAACGTCTGAGTGTCGTCGGCCGGAGAGATGATGGTGCAGGTTAATGTGGTGAACAGTGCCGAGAAGAAATGGAAGATGAAGACGCTGTAATCTCCACAGATGATCAGCTGAACGAATGCCGTCACCGGGTTGATGTTGATGTATTGTGGCACGTAGTCTGCATGGTTGGAGGTATTATTTTTACTTTTTTTTCAATTTTGATGCGTGTAAATTTTTATAAATAAATTTATTTGGTGGTTATGCTAAAATTCGTGTCTTTTTTAAGAAAATTTTGTCTCAATATTCAACAATTTATTGTCACAAAAACAATATAATATACATGAAAGTCTGACTCAATTTATGCATGAGAAACATCAGAAGAACCCTCCAGAGAGCTTCACACGCGTATGACGACGTCACAGAGAGGCAGCGACAGAGGAGACACGACAGTACAACACCCAACACCTCCATCACCATCGCCAGCCACAATGACTCCTTACCAACTCGACAGCAGAATCTTATCTCAAGTTTTTCAGTTCTCCAATCGTCGGAAATGACGTAGGTGACTACGTAGTGCATGAAGTAGGCGTAAGTGTACGATAGGAGGATGAATAAGACGCTCCACGATGCTATCCTCATCAAGTTCTTCAGCTTGTTGATGTCTTCTGACAGACCGCGCTAAAAATATTTATCGTTGAAAAGATTTTAAAAGACAGGAAACCGCAAGTTTGCTAAATTAAAAATTTAAAATTTAAAAGGAATTAATTCTTATTTGAGCTATAAACCTCAGTAGACATAATCTGAATGATGGATTTGACAAGTCCTTTTACGGGATTTGACTCGGCGGGTTGGTAGGGGCACTCGATGCAGTGATACAACCAGGCAGTAAATAGCGTAACCATTGAAAATACTTCAAGTGTGGAGATATTCAACAGATATATTTGTACCTGACAGACGCAAAATATCTCAAAATGATGCAGCATATCTACCAGGGGTCTGACAGATGTGTCGGTCCTATCTTCAAACTTTTTGTAGCACAGTCTTCGTAGGCTTATACAGGTTATTATAACTATGGTCTGGATTAGTATGAGTTTGGCAACCGCCTTCCAAAATAATGTTACTGAATAATCGCAGCATGATGAATTTATAACAACACCATAGTACCTGTTATAATGAAATCCAGGCGTACACACACACACACACATGCACACACACACACGCACACACACACACGCACAAAATCTCACTCTAGCTATATATCTTTCTTTTTATCTCTATGTCTATTTATTTGTCTGTCTGTCTTTCTGTCTGTTTGTCTGTCGGTCTGTCTGCCTACGTATTTATCTAACACGAAAACTAACCAATCCATTATGCCTCCAACCAAATTACCAAGAGCTGTGTGAAACATCTTCATTGATTGTTAAAAAAACTATTCGGATACAATATGTATGTATGTATGTTTGTATGTATTTGTGTATGTATGTATTACATATATAAGATATTATTATTACTACTACAAAATTATGATTAATATTATTATATACAAAAGACTATCTTGCCACAGTATAAATAATATATAGGAGTATTACTTATAATAAAAATAATTATATGAAAAAAAGTTAATTATGATTGTTTTTGTTTTGTTTGTTTATATTTTTATCGTGACGTTTATATTACTATGTTTTTTTGGGCGATAATTAAGAAAACACTGTTTATTTGTCTATGGCGCGCAGAAATCATTTAAAATTTTACAGAGATAAAAAATATTCCGAACGAATGAAAAGTAAGGTAATAAAAATTATCTGAACGGTGCATATATTTTGAACTAGGATTAATGTTAATAATAATAATAAATAATAATAACAATAACAACAACAATAGTAATTATAATAATAATTTTCCGGATGCTGAAATGATATGTTAAGTTCGTTTTGGTTCATTTTCGCCAAAAAACCATAAAAAAATAGCCGAAACAAACAGAAATATAAAGCTAAATATTACAACAAAGCACCACGTCTATTGTAATAATAATAATAATTAATAATAATAATATTATTATTATTTATCATAATTTCGTATAATTAACAAATTAAAAATTTGGACAAAAAGTAAAAACGGTTGCAAAAAACATCGTATTTGACACAGACACACACACACACACACACACACACACACACACACACACACACACACACACAAACAAACACACGCACACACACAAACATATAAACAAACATGTTGATATATTTATATATATATATATAGATTTATAATAAAATCTAACAAAAAACATACACACAAATAGATATCACCCTTATTCAAGTACCCTATCTTTCCATATATTTTTCATTAAATTCGTGACACTTCCATTAGAAAATAGCATCGTTCATAAATGCAATATTATTGCTAAGGACAAATAACCGAGGTAACGATAATAAAAATAATACTAATTATAATTATTATAACTATTATTATTATTATTATTATTACTATTATTATGGAGATGAAGACTGCCACGTGGATGAGAAGTTGACGTAACGCTGGTTATATCGACGATAATACGGAATAATAATCCACAACGTATTCAGTGTAGTTTTGATGTAATCTGTAACACACACATACACACACACACACACATACAAACAGAGAGAGAGAGAGAGAGAAGCAAGAGAGAGAGAAGCAAGAAAGAGAGAGAGAGAGAGAGAGAGAGAGAGAGAGAGACATACACAAATTAGTTATAGTTGTTCATGGTGTCATGTATAAACTGAAGAAAGGCAGATACTTTTGTGAAGACACTGTTGATACAGGATCTGTCATTGGAAGCCGACATGCCGAAACTTACTATTCCAATTTGGGTCCAGACGCCATTGACGTTTCTACATACGTAGGGCCCTCCGCTATCACCCTGTTAAAGGTTAAAAAGGTCATTCTTTTTTTTTGCACTTGCTTCAGAGGTATCAACGACAGACATACACGCACAGCGTATATGAATACGCGTGAAAACCGCGATTCACACGTACATTGCACGGAATAGGCTGAGATCTATTCGCATTCAAACTCGGCCTTACTGCAACAACCTAACCAGGCGTCTTTAACAACTGAGCCATAATCCTCATAGAGACATCAATTTGTTTTGTACAATGTTTTGATAACTTAAAAAATTTGGATGAATTAACGAGAATTGCGTTATTATAAACATCATTCATATTATAGTATCCTCTACATTTGTGTTGAAAAACTCATAACACTAAAAATGTATACACTAATTTTTCTCTCTTTCTTACTTTTTCTCTCATATTTCTACATCTCTCTCTCTCTCTCTCTCTCTTTCTCTCTCTCTCTCTCTCTTCCCATTTTTTTCCTTTATCAATATAATTTCACTATTTAAAAAAAGACAAAATGAATCAACCCATGAGGGCAAAAAAATGAGGCCAACCTTGCAAGCGTTAGTCTCGTAATAGGATGGAGTTGAGCCGGCACAAATCATGACCTTCTCCACCAGCTGGGACCTTATCACCGACTCTCTACTCTTCGTCTGGTTCAACATGTTACGCACGCAATCCTCGTATAACATTACGTTCATACGGCCTTGCAACAGGTTCTTCGATATTGTAGAATCTTTCGGGAAAGAATTTTTATTAGTAGCAAAATATTCCGAAAAATATGTTACAGGTTTCATCAGAAGGAGAATTCTTAAAATTTTTAAAATGAAGTGGAATCGAAGTGATAATGAATTGTAAGATTACCTAAATGAATTTAAAAACGTTTTTAAGTAGAAGGCCTTTGAAGGTTGTTTCAAAAAGAATGTAAAAAACAGCTGTTACGGAGAGATGAAGACAATATTATAGAAAACACACAAAAAATACAAATGTCACTCATAGATATTTAATTCTCAAAACCTAAAAATTTCTCATAAACACATTCAAGACACCAAAAAAAACTAACAAAAGTCAGTCCGACCGAACCCAGTAACGACGCAGACATCAAATGCTTCCATATCTTCATACTGATAATCAAAATCAGGTAGACAGATAGGTTGTACGAAATCATTGAAAGTTATGGGGGTCTCAAGTTTTAGGAGAGCTAGATCAGAAGTAACAGCCCTGTTGTCAAAATCTGGGGTGTTAATAATCCGTTGTACGCTTATAGAGGAGGCGTTAGGGTCTGCCAAGAGGTTGGTCCCAACTTTCACCATTAAGTTTCCCTCCGAGAGAACGTTTTCAAGTGCATCTCTGAAATTGTTAGGTGCGGATTTATTTAGATTTGTTTGCTATTAATTATAAATTAATTAATATTAGTTATCAACTTTAAACTATATTTTATACACGGTTAAATAGATACTTATAGAAATATTATTGTAAAAGATAATCAGGTAGATTAAAATGAAAAAGTTTAGAGGACTATTTAGCAAAAATTCTTTACAAAATTTATTACAAGCATCTTTATATAGAATGAAATTTAAAATAAAATGAAATAAAGTAACGAACAAGAGACAATGGGCAGCTGTTAGCAGCCAGCGGTCAGCAACAATGGAAGCACCACACCTAAACGCCCCGTTATAAAAAAGTTGAGCCTGCCATGGCCAAGCTCCTGGACTAGCCAAGTCCCCGTTAACTATGTAAGGGTCTTTCGAGTTGGGAAATAATTTTTTTTTGCCACATTCTGTGTGTGAGTTTGAGTTTTACTATTTTTAAAAGTGCAATACTATATTCAAAGTTTGGCTTGTTGGTCGTCCCGTATACAAGTGCATGAAAGAAAAATGAGTAGTGAAATAAAATACAACAAAGTGACATCATAATGGTATTCGTACCGTGACTTTGACAGGCAAGATGAACGAATTTGTTGCTTGAACAAGCCTTCCTGTGAATATTAATACAAATTTAAGTGTCAATGTATTTTAAGTTCCATTGTATTCAAGTACTATTGTATACATTATACACTTACATACACGTTTCATTAGTGTGCAGTTATAGTACGAATTGTTTTTACGTATAAATATTTTTAAAGTACTAAAGATCGATCGATCGACCGATTGATTAAATTATTATTATTATTATACTATATAATTATTTTTTGGTATTTCATTTAAAAATAATTAAAAAAAATTAATACACTGACGTTTGCTCTAGAGATAGCAAGATATTGGCCGTTGTAGTGGCTTTACTTCTTAGCTTTAGAAAATTTGTACCTGGTACTTGCACGTACGAGGTATTGTACGCAGACCTAAAAATTTTGAAATTATAAAGATAACACTGATAACATCATCAACAACAACGTCATCAACAACAACATTATCAACAACAACGTCACCGACAACAACAACACCACCACCAACAACAACAACAACGTCAACAACATCAAAATATTTAAAAAAAATGACAAAATCTAACTTGTAAAGCATGGATTTGCAGGCCAAATTACTCCATCCAAGACTCCAGTCATCAGAACAGACGAGGTAATTAACACTGTCTCCATTCAATGAAACTAACAAAGCAGCGGGACTCCCATTTGAGGAACTACTTTCCATGTGCACTATTGATGACGTAATTATTAATATTATTATTGTTGATGTTATCTAAATTTTATTTTAATTTAATTTTTATTATTGTTGATGTTATTTAAATTTTATTTTAATTTAATTTTGTTTTAATCATGACTATTTCTCTATTAATTAACTAATTATTGACTTTACGCATTGTTTTTGTTATTATTGTTATTATTTTGTTGTTGTTGTTATTAGTACCATTATTATTAATAGATTAAATTAGTAAAAGGTTTGGTTATTATTATTCATATTTATAATTCATGTAGTTGTAGTACTACTACTTCTACTATTACTACTACTACTACTACCACTACTACTACTATTATTACCACTACTACTAATACTACCACTACTACTACTACTATTACCACTACTACTACTATTATTACCACTACTACTAATACTACCACTACTACTACTACTATTACTACTACTACTACTACTATTACTACTACAACAACTACTACAACAACAACTACTACCACTACTACTATTACTACTAACGGCACGTGGCTTCATCAGACGAATCGCTGCAGTCAGCCACACCATCACACCGCTGTTTCCTATCCAGACATTTCTGCTTCTTTCGACACATGAATTTGTCAGACTCACATGGTGCTTTTATATAAATATTATATTATATTATATTATATTATATGATATTATATGATATTATATGATATTATATTATATTATATTATATTATATTATATTATATTATATTATATTATATTATATTATATTATATTATATTATATTATATTATATTATATTATATTATATTATATTATATTATATTATATTATATTATATTATATCATATCATATCATATTATATCATATCATATCATATCATATCATATCATATTATATCATATTATATCATATTATATATTATTATATATATATATACATATTTATATATTTTTACTTGGCTTATGAATGATTGAATGATTATTCGTATATACGATGGGTCTGTGTCATTATTTAAATCATGATGTAAAATGCTTATTCTACATGACACGTGTGTGTGTGTATGTGTGTTCGTGTGTGTGTGTTCGTGTGTGTGTGTAAGTGTGAGAATTTAGCAGATAATTATTTATTTAATTATAATTAACAAATTGTTTCAATGTACAACTGATACACTTTTGACTCGCTCAACGCAAGCAAAAGTCTAATTTAAGTTTCTCACGATACTAGGCCGAAGTACCTCGTCGTCGTGTGGGTTAGTTATCGTGTGTTTGTGAGTGTGTGCGTGAGTATACATGTGTGTATGTGTGTGTGTTTGTGTGTGTGTGTTTATGTGTGTGTGTGTGTTTTAAATGTGTAGAATAAAATAATAAAATACAACAACCACAACAACAACATCAACAGCAAGAGCAAAAGCACTAACGACATCTAACGCCATCTTCGTCATCGCCGTACTGGCAGTCTCGGATTCCATCACATAGCAAGTCGTTGTGTATGCAAACTCCACTGGATTGGCACTTGTATTGGTAGGACTGACATGCTGATTGTTGTGGAGGAAGATGATGATGATGATGAAGATGATGATGAAGATGATGATAATGAAGATGATGATGAAGATGATGATAATGAAGATGATAATGAAGATGATGAAGATGAAATTGAAAATGATAAAGATGATGACGACAATTAACCGAACAAATATTAACATCTCATAGTAATTGGATTGTTTCAATTTTTCCTGAACGCAATTCTACTAAGTTTTATTCAAATGACAAACCATCTATATGAAGTTTTTTTTAAAAATAAATTCATCACGAATCGAAACAAAATGAAATGAGACGAGACGAAACGAGACAAAACGAGACATACAGCAGTTGGCTTCGTCGCTATCGTCTGGACAGTTTCTGATTTTGTCACATATCTTACTCTCCGGAATGCAAATTCTCGTCACGTTGCACCTAATTGCACCAACTGCACACGCTGTGTGTGTATGTGTGCGTGTGTGCGTGCGTGTGTGAAACCAAAAGAGAGTTTGTGTACGTGTGTGCGTGTGTGTTGTGTGTGTGCGTGTGTAGGTGCATGTATATGAACACGTGCATGTAAGTAAAAGTTATGATGATGACGATTATGATGGTGAAGATTATGATGACAATGATGAAATTTTTTTTATAAAAGAAACAAGCGAAACTGACTACAGTCCACTTCATCGCCATCGTCATCACAGTCCGGATAGCTATCACACCGCCACGTGGATTGGATGCACCTTCCACTGTTACAACGAAACTGATTGCCTCGACAGCCTGGATGATGTTGAGAATGTTGAGGATGGCGGCGCGATGAAAAGTATAACGATGATAACCTGCTGACGTTGGTTATGCTGACTTGATGATGACGACGACGACGATGTCTAACAACGACAACAACAGGTAGACAAAATGATTACAACAACAACAACAACAACGACAACAACAACAACAACTACTACTACTACTACTACTACTACAATAATAATAATAAAATCCATCATAAAATGATAGATAGCACGACGACCAACCGCCACAATTACTAACTGCAATTGAACTCGTCGCTACCATCCACGCAGTCGGACTGACCGTCGCAAACGTACTTCAACAGTAGACACCTGTTGTCACTGAAACATCGAAATTTATCGGCCGGGCAAGCTGGTTTTGTTGTAAATAATTTTTCATAATTCTGATATTCATAATATTTATTTTATTCATAGTAATCAGTCGCGACGCTTAATTATGGATCTTTTTTTCTGTTTTGGTATTTTCGGTTATTTTTCTAGTATAAATCTACATTTTTGTGAAAAAAAAGTTAAATAATTTACAGTCTCTAATCAAAGTTTCAAAAGACATTTTCTTCTACATTATCTTATCCTTAGCTAATTTTCAATCCCAACGACCCCCTTAGCTACCCCTCTGACAGTAATTTTCATGGCGGAAATAATTTTTTCCCAATTTTGTTGATAAATTTCGGTGAAATTTTGTACTAACTACAATTTTGCTCATCGGAAAGATCGCCACAGTCGTTGAGACCGTCGCACGTCTTGTTCGTCGGGATGCACCTGGACACCGTTGCACATTTAAACATATTTGTCGGACAGCCTGTTGTATTTTTTTTTACAATTCTCCCTTCAATATTTCTTAGAGGTATCAGCAACGAACAAATGCAACACCAATATAACTACTTCAACAGCAATCACCATTACTACTAATGCTAATAAATAACAACAACAACAACACTAACTGCCTTCGGCGGATACAACTACAAAAGTGACAGCACACAAAGCCAGGATATCGGGATTTGGGCCTCCAGTTTTTCTCATCACCACATACCTCCCGTAGACAGGAAGCGGAGTGCAGACGGCTTCCACATCAGCGCCCGGAAGAATGGCGGTTGAGTTTTCGTAGGAGTAGCAGGTTTGAGATGAGTGTGGGTAGTTGCTTGACCTTATCTCTGCCGACCCAATTGAGATGATGAAGTTACTCAGGTATATCGCCTCTGTAATTAATTAATTAATTAATTACTGAATTAATTTATCAAATAGTTAATCCATCAATTAATTAATTAATCAATCAATCAATAATCAATCGATCAGATAAATTTATATAGCGTAAATTTCTGAAATTTCATAACACCGCTGAATGAACAAAACTACTACTGACACTACTTTTACAACTGCTGCTGCTACTACTTACTACTGCAGCTGCTGTTGCTGTTACTGTTACCTGCTACTACTACTACTAAATTTTATTCGAAATATTTTCATTAGTCGTTTCTACAAATGCAATTGTCGCAACCACACCAGCTAACCAGTTGCCTGTCTGGAGTTAGTGATGAGCACCTTTTTGAAGAGGTAAAAGTAGCCGAAATCGGCTTGGTACCATGCGTCCTCGTCTGGAACCTTCCCAATCAGGGAACATGCAACTAATTTGTGGTCATCCGAATAGCCGTTCGACGATGATGGTGGAGATGGAGATGAGGATGATGAAGATGAGGATAATGATGAAGATGACGATGTTACATTTTTACTCACTGTCGTTGAAACAGGCTTCAGTAAAAGCTGGGCTGTTTTTGAATTTTTTTCAAGTCAACGTAACTTTATGTTATTATATAAGGTTTTTCAAATATCATTGATTCCATTTTAAGTTCGTTTCATTGAATCAATTAAGATTCAACTTTTTAAATATTAAATAGAATTAATTGGAATAATGAAAAAGAAAAATAATGTAACTAAAATAGAATTAAATAGAAAAAACTTTCCCAAAAAGCCCAGCAAACCTGGCTCAAAACCAGCCGCCCAAATTTGCAAATCACAGATGGTCAGTGCGTCTTGTCTGAAACCTCCAATCTTTTTAACGGTAAGAAACCTCCCAGAAACTGACGTGGTTTGGCACCGGACCTTGACCACAGCTCCCTTTCCAGCAATTTCACTGTAGTAGCCACACGCGTTTGTCGTAGTGGTCAAGTTTGAAGTTTGGCCGAGGTATATGGCGAAATTTGACAAGTAGACGTAATCTGCTTGTGTGGGTGAGTTGCATCTTTTGTTGGTTTTTGGACGTCAGATGTGAGTGAATATTTCATAAGTATATGTTTGATAAGGTAATTTATAGGAAGTTTATTGAAGAAATTTTATTTTAATTTCTAAATTGAAATCGGTTTTGTAGCAGAATTGTTTGATACTTTTTAAATATTTCAAGTGAATCAGATTTTTAGACCAATACAATCGAATGAGAAAAGAATTAAATGAATGAACGAATGAATAAATGAATGAATGAACAAGTTAACAAACAAACGAACGAACGAATAACAAAATAAACCACACACAAACCAGATGTTTGAATGTTGACTAGAACGACTGAATCTACCAAAACTTCTTCCCCAATGTCAACTTGAAACCAGCCATAATTTGTTGAATACGAACCCTCACCCATGATGGCGCAAGTTGTAGCCGAAGCATCCAAAGCGTAGTAACCGTAGTAGACACTAAACTGGCTACTCTGCGTGTAGTTTACTGGGTAAACCCTGTATAAATCTACAATACGGTCAGAAGGTTTATAAATTTTTAATCTTTCAAAATGATTTATGAATATTTTGTATAAATCCTGTATGAGTCTGTGAGGTTTCAGTGAGGTTAGAAGGATTGTCAATTTGAAATCGTTTATTGACGGCGTCAAATATTTTATGTTTGATAGTTTTTTGATATATTGTAGTTTACATTAAACTACGTCGTCCTCTTCATAATCTTCAAGCCGTCATGTAATCATTAAATTTTGGCTGTCATCAAAAGTCATCGTTATTAAAATGAATGTCGTAATTATTCCCCCTTTTAAATAGTTAAAAAGAAAAAAAATTTGATTTATATTATAATCAAATTACTTAGAGAAGAATTTCTTGTGGAAAGAATGGCTGCACTGGTTGTTGAAGTAGTAGTAGAAGAAGTCGTAGTAGTTGTCGGAGTAGTAGTAGAAGTAGTCGTAGTAGTCGTCGGAGTAGCAGTAGATATAGAAATGTAATTTGATGTTGTCGTTGTTGTGCTAATAAGGGTAGAAGTTGCTGGTTTCATTGTGGCGGGCTCACTACCTAACAAATACATGAAATCATTTAATTTTATTTTCATTCAAATAACATTAACTCTGCAAGGTTTAATTTACTCAAATTATCAAAAAAAGACTTTAATTTTGTAATAAGCACGTGGTCTTGTTTATTAATAAAGTTGCCTACTATGTATTAATAATATCTCAATAAACAAAAACAATGACAATTTTAACTAACAACACCAAAAATATTCACCCAAATTACCAAAAATCACCCCAAAAAAAATAAATTTCCAGCCTAACAACCTAAAAGTTGATCGCATACAACCAACATCTCGCACACGCTAATGGCATCTTGCCTAAAACCTCCAGGAAGTCTGAAATAGGTCACATATCGACCAACGACGGCAGATGGAAAACACGGAATGGATGCGTTGGCATCTGCTGGTGCGTATGGTTCCATGGAATGATAGGTGAAGCATAGTTGCTGCGGTGGGCTTGGGATGTTGTCGCCATTTGTCGTTGGGTTAGTTTTGGACGTTGTATCCACTGAGATTACGAAGTTGGACATGAAGAGAGATTCTGTTGTTGTTGTTATTGTTGTTGTTGTTGGTTGTTGTTGTTGTTGTTATGTTTGTTGTTGTTGTTGGAAAATGTTTTTTATTGATAGGATGGTTGTAAGTGAGATTAGTTTTATTTGTTTTTATTTGTATTAATAAAATAAAAACTGAACTAAGAAACTATATTCTGTTTTCAAAGTAGATGACAATGTTGTTGATACCACTATTGTGTTCTAAAAAAAACTGTTGAAACAATTGCCAAAGAATGAAATAACGTCTTAAACAAACAACAACAAAATCTGAAGTATCAACAACAACCGCAACAGCACAAAACCAAAAGAAAAAACAACAAGAGGATGAAAATCGAACAGCTATACTTCAAAATAACCATAATAATCTTTAGCATTAAGCATGACGATCTCTTTAACGGAGTATACACCTCCCAGATCTACTTGAAGCCAGGCCACATCTGGCGACTGCGATCCAACGCCAGCCAAAGAACACGTCAGAGGATCCGAGTCGATCGCCAGCTGCCCGACTTTACCGTCATAGACGCTGCTTTGGCGAGCGCTTACTGGCTTCACAACAATATCTGCGGTTTGTGTTTTTGTTGATTTTTTCTAAATAAATTGTCCGTTCTTTTGTTCGTTCGTTTGTTTGTTAATTAATTAATTAATTCATTCATTCATTCGTCCATCTATTCTTACATGTATTCATTCGTTCGTTCATTCATTCATTCACTCACTCATTCACTCATTCGTTATCATTGGTAGTTAAAGAATTGAACTGAAATAGTGAAATAGAATCAAGCACCACTAGACCAACTAACCAACTGCTTTCTCTTTAATTCTGGTGTCTCTAATATTAACTTTGCTATTAATTTCGTTATTGATACTGCTATTATTATTATTGTTGTTGTTGTTGTTATTATTTTTGTCGTTGTTGTTGTTGTTGTTGTTACCAGGGTCTTCATTAATGCTAATACCAGATTGCCAGCCATATACTTTCACCTCGCAAAGGCAGAGGGCGTCGGTTCGAAACCCACCTCTGCCTCTTTTTATAGTTACGTATCTTCCTTTTGTTCCGGCTGCTACTGGTGATGATGACTGGCATGTTAAATTGACTAGTTCGCCTTTAAATGAAGGGCAGTTTGATGTGTTTTGAGTATGTGTGCGTATGTGTGTGCGTGTGCGTGCGTGTGTTTATGTAGGTGTGTGTGACACTGTTTGCCTGTGCGAGTATGTACGTATTTTTAATTGATTACAAACATTCATACATTTCTACGAATACTGTTAACTATCAAAGAGTCATAGGTTCATTTGAACTTCTTGCGTGTGTGCGCGCATGCGTGCATGAGTGTGTGTGCGTGTGTGTGTGTGTGTGTGTGTGTGTGTGTGTGTGTGGTGCGTATATCACTCACTATTATTCACTTCACAACAATAACTTAACGGAAAGACAAGTTATTTTTAATATAAAATTCGAAGAATGTTGAATCTTACCACTAACGAAATGTCGTATTTTAATTTTTGCATTCAATTCGTCACAGACAATTTTTCATTATTAAGTCTTTATCATAAATATTACACACACACACACACACACAAACACACACACACACATGAAAAAACACACAGATACACACACACACAAACGCGCATATTTGTTTATGGACACTGCTCATACTCAGAAGAATAAAAAAAACTCAGGCACTCTATATATGCATTAAACACACAGACACACACAAACAAACAAACACACACACAAACAAACAAATAAGCGCACACACACACACACATGCACACACGCAGACATTTTAACACGACAAAACTTTTGCCGTGCGGGGATTATGATGATCTTAACTTCACGAACGTGACAGGTAAGAGAAATAAATAACTATTAAATTTTATTTTTGAATTTAACTATTTGAAAGATATAAGAATTTAATTAAGCAGCATTAATTAGATAAATCAGAATAAATTACTATCTCGTAGCGATATATCACACACACACACACGAATGCACACACACACATACACATACACACAAACAACACGCATACAGACAACAAACTATCTTTCACACACAGATAAACATACACTGTATATATGTATGTGTGTGTGAATGTGATTGGCGTTTTTGTAAGTGTGTATGTGTGCGTATGTATGGATGTGTGTATATTTGTTCATGTGTGTGTGTTCGTGTGTGTGTGTGTGTGTGTGTGTGTGTGTGTGTGTGTGTGTGTGTGTGTGTGTGTGTGTGTGTGTGTGTGTGTGTATAAAATACCTTTCGGTACATGGGTTGATGAGTTATAGATGGCACAAACATATCCAAGGTCGTCATTGGTTTGGGATACATATACAGTGAAATCGGATAGATATCCAGATTCTATGGAGGAATTTTAAAGTTAACATTATTATAATTATTGTTAGTAATAGTAGTAGGAGTAGTAGTAGTTGTAGTAGTAATAATAGTAGTAGTAGTACTAGTAATAGTAGTAGTATCATTGTTACTATAAATAGCCTTGTTTATATTATTATTATAATATTATTATTGTAATTATTATTATTATTATTATTAATTATGTTCTCAACGTCGTCAATGTTGTCCTTTAAAGAGCGCATACTTTGAGATCATAAAAAATTTTAACCTGCACGACCACTACCGACCACCGAATGTATGTGCACCGAACACATAACAAAACAGTAAAACAATTACATAGACAGACAGATAGACAGACACAGACAAACAGACAAACAGACATACGCACACAATCACTGAAAACGGAGACAAAACACATAAAACCCGGCAAAGACAGATGAACACAACATTAGCGTGAAATGAATCGGAGAAAATTTTCTGTTATAAAAAAAAATGTAAAAAGCGCCATTTAGTCACGAAAGGAATGAAGTGTTGTGTTAAAATGTTGATAAAATGTTCTCCCAAACCAGAAAAAACAAACCCACACGCGGAGCAATTAACTACAGGTCAATCTAATAAGAGTCGGCATATAGTTTTACAGGTCAAATAATTAAAAATTTGTTTTTTAATTAAAAAATTATTTAAATAACATCTTTCAAATCTTTTTCAAATACAAAAAAAACAACAAAGTCAAGCAGACCATAATCGTCGAGAGTATTGAGAATCACCACTCCTGCCACTTCATAAATATTCATGAGGTCAACTTTCCACCAAGCTATATCATTGGACGATGAGCCGATGCCTGCAACTGAGCACGTCCAATCAGATCCGTCGACAGCCAGTGAAGCCCATTTGTTTGAAAATGTGCTGCTCTGATTTGCTGGTCTGTTTTGCGATATGTTCTCAATGAATTCTTGAAGGAAAAAAATTTGATTTTATGAGAATGTTTGTCTAAAAACACGTTCTTACGTAGAATTACAGTGCATTAAAAGTTGATAAGAGATACAAATAGAACAAAAGTTCTCTAACAATAATAATTTTTTTCTAAATGTTCATACCGACCTGGAAAGGCAAAACAAAACAGATGAACTGAAAATAGCAATGGAACTATGGAAATTAAATAATTCTTCCTAAAAAATCTTCCATATATTTCCATATCTTTCGTATATCACAGTAGGAATAAACGCATATATGTATGTATATAGATAGAAAAAAATTAATAAAATAAACTTGAAAAATCAATATTAAACAGATAAATTTAATAAAAATATTAATAATAGAAGATATATATCAGTAAAACAATGATATACGATCAGCTCAAATATACCATGACACAATTCTGCATGAATTAAGCAAAAATGACAATTGGATTTGAACGAAAATGTTTTATAAGAAACCTTATATATTTGTATGTATGTATGTATGTATGTATGTATGTATGGATGGATGTATGTATGTATGTATGTATGTATGGATGGATGTATGTATGTATGTATGTATGTATGTATGTATGTATGTATGTATGTATGTATGTATGTATGTATGTATGTATGTATGTATGTATGTATGTATGTATGTATGTATGTATGTATGTATGTATGTATGTATGTATGTATGTATGTATGTATGTATGTATGTATGTATGTATGTATGTATGTATGTATGTATGTATGTATGTATGTATGTATGTATGTATGTATGTATGTATGTATGTATGTATGTATGTATGTATGTATGTATGTATGTATGTATGTATGTATGTATGTATGTATGTATGTATGTATGTATGTATGTATGTATGTATGTATGTATGTATGTATGTATGTTTGTATACGAGCTGATATTGCTCTATGAGCAACGGTACAATAGAAAACAGAACCAATCGTTAAGAAGAACAAACAAACGTAATTGAACCTTCGCAAATCGTCGTGAGTTAATAATAAAAATAATAATAATTATGAATAATTATAAATAATAATTATTAATATTATTAACTATAAACATTATTATAAATATTTTTGTTATTATTTATTTTATTTGCATTTGTTACATGGCTATAAATTACATCAGCTTATATAGCCATAAGTCTGATTGATATCAATCAACTGTAATAAAATATTAATTATTATAACTTATTATTATTATTAACTATTATTATTATTATTATTAATTTTTATCAAGTATAAAAATGCGTGTGTTTATTATATTAAAGACCGAATTGTCCCACATATTGCAAAGTAATTCATTACTAGAAGGTAGATAGATAGCTGTGTGTTATAGTTGTATTTGTGTGTGTGTGTGTGTATGTGTGAGTGTGTGTGTGTGTATGTGTGTGTGTGTGTGTGTGTGTGTGTGTGTGTGTGTGTGTGTGTGTGTGTGTGTGTGTGTGTGTGTGTGTGTGTGTGTGTGTGTGTGGTGTGTCAACACTTACTAATGATCAGTTATAAAAGATGTAGCTTAAGCTTATGAAAAACATTTTCGTGCCAGTCTTCGCAAATTTTCATTGTATTTTTTTGTTGTTAGTATATTTATAGCTGTGGTATTATCTGTATATTTAAAGTGGTATATCGAATTCGATTTCGTTTAGCATTCATTTATTAATAAAGCGTTTAAAAATCAACGTAAACCCTAAAAAGGTGATTCAACTAGTACGTTGAAATACATAAAATTGATACAAATTTTTCTATTTTTCTAGTAAAAATAACTCAAATAATTAATTACGTCAATTAATACTTATCTAACCTACAGCTGTTAATAAACTTTATAAAAAAAATTTTTGTCAATTTGTAGCCAAACAACGCTCAACTGAAAAAAAATCAGGTACCGATAACTTTCGAAATATTTTGATAATAATAAGGCACTGAGGTAAAGACGGACAGGGTGCATCTGGCATCGGTCCGGTCGGCCCCAAAACTTGTAACCCCCACTTGGAACCATTGAAACTTCGAGTTTCTACACACTAAAGGGCCACCCGAATCACCCTGGTAAGTTTAAATGGAAAAATTATCGTAAATAAACATATAAACATGTGTTGTTGGATGGAAACCAAATTTTATACAATATTGTATGAATTCTATGTATAGGTATATGAACTTAAATCCACGCATTTGTATTTTCTTTATCGACCATAATGAAAAATAAATTAATTAATTAATTTATAAGCTAATTAATTAATTAGTTGGTTATTTAATTAAAAAATATGTTTCTAACTCTACAAGTGTTTACTCCTTTGTATGTTGGCGACGAACCAGCGCAGAGATGCATATCAGCGCGTAGGTCGTTCATAAGGGAGAAAGCTTGCAAGTCGTAAAGGGCGGACGCACATTCAAAATGACTCATCATGTCCATCTTCCCTTCCATCATCATTGTGCTGGGTAGATCTACGTTATCTGAATAATATAAAAATTAAATTTTTCTACATTTTGAAACAAAGTACCATTAGCGAAACAACAAAAACGTATTCTTCAGTGAGAACAAAAAATTCAGATTTGAACCAGAAGGCAAACGCCCCACCGCTAAACTAACTTGTCTCATAGACTCCATGCCCAGTAGCCACACAAACGTCAAAAACCCCAGCAAACGTTGGATTCAACAAGCAGATCGGCTGGACGGATTTGTTGAACGTTAGTGGTTCACTCAGTTTTAACAGGGCAATGTCGTTTACAAAGCCCGTCTTTGAGTAATTAAACCCTTGGACCATTACTACAGAAAGTTCTTTGGCGCCTTTGTCGTTCAGTAAGTTAGTTCCAACTGTCACTCTAATGTTTCGTACGTTATTCATCGTTCCATTTTCCATCCTGTGATGTGTTTCATCAAGTTTTATTAATTCGAAGGAGTGATAGTGTAACGGTTAAGGCGCCTGTCAGTGCTCTTGCAGTTACTGGATTCGAATCTAACTGCCACTTCAAAGGTATTTTTTGTGTGATTGCTATTGATTGCTCTAAGAATTACTGAATAAATAATTTGAAAAAATCTGAATATATCAGACGACAACATTGCAACGCTGATGAAACATTCAGTCATGTCTTGCAGTGGCCAGGTTTCAATGTAAGCACAATCTCAGTAGCCACTGATAATTATATTCATAATTTATCATAATTAGATTAACTTTTAAGTAATTATATCAACAAATAGTTTTAACCATATCAATAACTAGTTTTAAAACGTTTAATAAAGTTTTTTATTAAACTTAAATTCAAAAATGTCTAAAAATTCTGACCAGATGCAATGGGCAGCCGTCAAAATCCACCTCTCGTTCAGAATACTACCCCCACACTGGAAGTCGCCAGACAAATACATTTGTATTTGCCAGGGCCAGGCGTGATTCTTCGCGATATCTCCGTTTATGATGTAGGAATCTCTCGTGTCGAACGTACTATCCCTTCGCCCGCATTCTTCAAATTCGTGAATTTATTTATTTTTTTTTTAGGAAATTTTTAGGAGGTTGTATAAATTGTTATGATCATACGGTTGTGATGAGTGATGAACAGCAGCAAATATGAAGACGATGACGATATAACAGCAATGACGATAATGATAACGATGATGATGATAATCTAAATGATGATGATGATGGGGATGGTGATGATGATGATGATGATGGGGATGGTGATGATGATGATGATGATGGTGGTGGTGGTGATGATGATGACGACGACGATGATGAAGTTGGCAAGCGTAAATAGAATGACAGTAATACAAACGGCCACCTTGATTGTAACAGTTCAGCCTGATGTAGTTACTACTCGGACAATAATTTCTGAAATTTTAAATGAATATATGTAAGAAAAAATAAAGAAAGAAAATGAGAAAGAGAGAGAGAGACAGAGAGAAAAAGAGAGAGGTAAAAAAAAAGAAGAGAGAGAGAGAGTAAAAAAGAGAGAGAAAGGAAGAGAGAGAGAGTAATGAAACAAACTTAATGCTAAGAGTTGTTATAAAATGTTAACTTACTTAAAAGTGAATCATTAAAATTTTTATAAAAAGAAAAAGAAAGAGAGAAAGAAAAAGAGAGAGATAAAAGAGGAAAAATGGGAAGAAAGAGAGAGAGAGAAAGAGTATAACAAATGTGGTCATTTTTTATAAAATGATGACTTACGTTAATTTGAATCCGTTTAGAAAATTGATTCCATTGTTGTAGATGCCGTAGTTAACTCCAAGCGATTCATTAACGTAATTTATAGCTACTCCGGTCCATATACTGCGACTTGAAAAATTTTCGAAAAAAAATCTTTGTAAAAAACTAAATCTTTAGTTAATCATAAAATTAATAATTGAATAAAAAATTAATGACTAATGATAAGTTAATAAATATATATATATAAATAGAGTGATGAAACGAGTAAAATAATCTCTTCTGTTGATTCGTTTGGAAACCTATATCCCATATAATGGCAGGCCGCCTCGCTGTGTTCAGCCAGCCAGCCATCAGAGCAGAACATGTAACCGGGCACTCCCTTGTAAGTGGCTGTTAACAGGTTCGATTCCTTGATACTCACTGCCGAACAATTTGCGATAGAGTTCGTTGTTAGTTTATTTTTATATTAGCTACGTGAAATTATGAAATAAGTTAGTGAGTGAATGAATGAATGATTGACTGAACGAACGATCGAACGAACGAATGAAGGAATAATTGAATGAACATGCGCATAAATGAATGAACAAAGAGCTAATAAACGAAAAAAATGGAATAAAATGAAATAAAAACAAAATAATCATGAAAATTTATAATTCAAAAGTTGAAGTGTTTCAACCAACAGCAATCTTTCTCATCCAGATATTCGGTGCAGTCCAGAATGCCGTTGCATTGGAGACTGTTTGAGATACATCTTCGCCATTTGTCACATTTTATTTCGTCCTTTTGACAAGGGGCTGAAAAAAAAGATTAATAAATGAATGAAAAAATAAATGAATGAGTGAATGAATAAATGAATGTACGAATGATTGAACGAATGAATGACATAGCATAACATAGCTATTATACGCTAAACGAGCTTAACTTACGAATGAATGAATGAATGATTGAATGAATGGACTCGCAAACAGACAAAAAAATGAATAAACAAAACATATTTTTATATGAATAAAAAACAAAACCATACAATTTCAATCAATTTGACAAAATAAAATTGAGAAACTAAAGACTAACGACACATTCTCTCATCCTCGTCATCTCCAACAGGACAATCCTTCACTCCATCACATAGCCATTTCCAGTTTATACACTCACCGCTCTGAGCACACTTGTGCTGATACGTTTTACAAGCTTTTGGGAAAAATTGTTATCTTTTTTAAAATATTAATTTTATTTTTTAGCTTAAAGAAAAACCAAATATTGAAGTTTTTATGAACAAAATAATAATTTCTGAATGGTTTTAATGTTTTTAACAAACAAACAAACAAACAGAGGGACAGACAAACAAACAACCAAACGACCAAACAAACTGACAATCATACAACATTTCAATCTTCACTATATTTTAAAAGTTTTAACAGCCAAGTCCTTACTGGCAACATTATGTTATGTTACGTTACGTTATGCTATGCCATGTTATGTTATGCTATGTTATGCTAAAATCAGCGCCTCACAAATCACACTGCACCCAATCATTTTGACCCCTTACCACAATTCACTTCGTCGCTATTATCAGGACAGTGCTTGACTCCATCGCATATCTCCTTCTTCATTAAACACCTTGTAGTATTCTGACACCAAAAGTTGCCAGTTGAGAGGCATTTAATTCTATACAAAAAATCTAAAATTTGAGTTTTGTTAGTTTTATAAAAAGTTATTTAATTTATTTAAATTAAATGATGTTTGAATTAAAATAAACTTAAAAAGGTATGGGGTACAGCAGGCGTGGGCGAGGCCTTGTTCACCAAAAAAAGCCACAAATCTTAAAAAAATTTTCCAAGGGTCAAAAAAATTGCTCTTTAAGTACATATGCGGCCCTTCAAAGGTAAAACAGTTTTCAATGCGGCCCTCACAGCAAAAGGTTTGCCCACCCATGGTGTATAGTATAGTTTAATATAAAGATTAGTAATGTGGGTTTATGTTACCATTAGCATGAATGTTTCAGTCGAAACATCGCCATTCCTACAAAATAAAGAAGTTTTAAATAATATTTATTTTACAAAATAGAAATCAGCTAAATCCACAGTTTTCACTTCATTATTTGATTAAATTATTTGATAATAATGATAATTAATAATAATAACAATAAGAAGAAGAAGAAGGAGAAGAAGAAGGAAAAGAAGAAGAAGAAGAAGTAGAAGAAACATAACAAACCGCATTGTTTTTCATCGGTTCCATCGGCACAATCCAACAGACCATCACATAGCCACTTATTAGTTATGCACTTGCCACTACCACATTGAAATTGACCACTGGAACATAGGTTGACTTGGCAAAATCGTAAAAATTTTTATAAAATATTAAAACAGATATTGAAATTCATTTAAAATAGATTTGGAAATCTGAAAAATATTGACAATTCTTTAGATTAAGTCTAAAAAACGAAACTTACGAGCAGTTATTACGACACTCAGATAGCAAAAGCATATAGTAATGCAATTAACTTTGCTGATTAACATTGCGCACAAAAAAAAGTTAATGCTTAAGCGCTGCTGCAACACTTTCATTGTTAAACGTATCCTCTTATATACTGTGGTTGTTATTGTTGTTTTTATTTCTAATATTATTTTTTATCATGATAATCATATTATTATTAATATTGTTATTATTATTATTATTATTGTTATCATTATTTTTATTATTAAATATTTCGCACCGTGATTTATGGCTATAGCTATCCAGTTTTGTGGATTCAGGATTTTTAAAGTGTTTATATTGTTATGACTGCTGTCGTTAGTGTTATTGTGGTTTATTATTATTAATATTATTGTTATTATTACTTAAAAATTGTCGTCACGAGTTTCTATTATTATTAATTATATTATTATTATCATCAGCATTATTATTATTATCATTATTATTATTATCATCATCATCATCATCATTATTATTATTATTATTATTATTATTAATCTATTTACTTTTTCTTTTAGTCATTTGTCAATAAAAGAAGTGTACCTATTAGTAATACCATTGTTATAATCATAATAATAATTATTATTACTATTATCAATTGTAATAATAATAATACATTAATAATAATCAATTGTAATAACAGTAATAATAATAGTTATTATTATTATTGTTGTTGTTTTTATTTCAAATTTTGCAGGTAGAATGAGTTTCGGTGCTCTGAAACGTCAGAAAAAAAAATAACCATAACAATAATACATTTATTATTATTATTATTATTAGTAGAAGTAGTAGTAGTAGTGGTAGTAGTAGTAGTAGTAGTAGTAGTAGTAGTAGTAAAAGTAGTAGTAGTAGTAGTAGTAAAATTAGTAGTAGTAGTAGTAGTAGTAGTAGTAGTAGTAGTCAGCACAACACACACACACACATATATATATAGATACCTACGTAATGCAAACATTTTTAATAAGCAGCTGTAGCTTCTGTGCATTTGAATGGAACTTAGTAGAACTTTGTTTCGATTTTCGTCAAATGAGTCCGAGAAATTTAACTAGTTTGGTCTTACTTTTGGATACACTAGTAGTAGTAGTAGCAGCAGCAGTATTAGCAGTTGTTGTAGTAGTAGTAGTAGCAAAAGTAGCAGCAACAATAGCAGCATAAGTAGTAGTAGTAGTGACAGCAGTAATAGTAATGTGGTCATGAAAATGTTACTCATTATTTAAATATTTTTCTTTGAATTTGAGATTGTTTTACCAGTCTTGCTAATAATTAGTTTTTATGAACTTTAGTCTAATTTTTAAAGCAAATTAGCTTTTATTCGCATGTATTATATTTGAATCATATTTTTTGTAACATCGTTCATGATGCTGCTGTTGTTGTTGTTTTTGTTGTACAGGTAGCATGGCAGTTGTGTAGTGAGTTAATTTCGTATTAAATTGGCATTAAAATTATTAAATTGTAAAGTTGGACTCGTGCTATTTCTTGGTGAAAATATGAAAAAGTGAAACTTAATAAATTTTTTATTTGTTACAATCGGAAAAAATTTGGACGAACTCAACAAAAGATGCAGTTGTTACATAGGCTTTGGACTAGGATGTATATACAATGTTAAATCGAACCGGATGAGTTAGAAACCAACCTAATAAACAGCTTAAATATATTTTCTATCATTTTCAAATTATTTCAGAACCATATTTCTAACTATAGAAACAAAACCCGTGTTACTAAATTCCAAGATAAAGTAAAACAACACACATAGGAGGCAAGTTGTTAGCTGTTTAAGATGTTGTCGATCACACTTTTGAAGGCAGAAACCCGACTGAAGACACTATTTGAGCAGGAATCAACTTTTGCCGAAAATCCAAAACTGACAATCCCAACTTGGAACCAGACACCATTTGAGTCCCTACAAACATAGGGACTGCCACTGTCCCCCTTGTAAATAAAATAATTTCAATACAGCAGAAGAGAAATAAAAAATTACGTGATGTTTGCAGTTGCGTGTATCTATTTACATACAACGTGTGTTTGTTGCGAAATTTTTAACAAATATTAATGAAAAAATGGTTACAAATATATAAATATCAATAAAATATTTAAAAAGCAATTTGAATTTAGCCAAAAAAACTTAAAAAACAAATGGAATCACCAAAAAATGAACCTTGCAAGTGTTGACACCGATGGATGTCGGCACAGAACCAGCGCATATCATGATCTTCTCGTCCAGTTGAGATCTGACCAGCAACTTAGAACTCCCCGTTAGGCTGGCTACGTTGGAGATGCAGTCTTCGTAGTTCATGAAGTTCATGCGACCTTGCAGTAAGTACTTCGACACCGGCAGATCTGTTCGTTAGGTTGGTGTGGGATGTTTTTAAAGATATAAAAAATTAGTCTTTTTTTTTTAAAGATATAAAAAATTTATTTTCGATAAAATATCAACTAAATGTCTTTAAAAGCAAAAGTTATTCTAAACTTTTTTTACAAATACAACCAGTAAAATACAATACAAAAAACCTACTTAAACTAGTCCTCCCAAACCCAGTGACCACACAAACATCCATTGCCGCCAATTTCTTGTCATTGAAACTTTCATCTGGCAAGCAGACCGGCTGAATGAGAGCATTGAAAGTTAAGGGGGTCGACAATTTAAGAAGGGCCATGTCGTTGAAAACAGTAAAATCATCGTAGAAGGGATGAGTCCGGACGGAGCTGACCGTGTAAGCGATTGCGTTGGGATCGAATAGAAGGTTTGTTCCCACCTTGACGCTGAAAGACGATGTTGGATAGATGTTTCCAGCTGCATCTCTGGTCATTGTGGAGAAATTTATTTTAAAAGATGGCCAATTATTATTAATAGGAGTATTTTTGTTTTAGGATAATTTATAATTATTTCATTTTTTTAATGAGTTTATCAAGAGGTTTAGAAGAATGAACATTACAATCAAATTACGCATCTCTTATCTTATGTCTGCTGTTATCAATATATGTTTTAAGTTTACTTTTGTTAATACTGCTACAATCGCACCTACAATCACTATTTCATCAAATTAAAATTTCTTTTTGTGACAGAAGCCCTGAAAAATTAATAAAGTTGAAGGAAAGAAAACAAAAAAGAATTTACAAAAAAAAACAACATTAACAAAAGGAAGAAGAAGAAGAAGAAGAAAAGAAGAAGAAAACCCCACTAACACAACACAATGGGCCGCGGTAATAATCCAATACTGGGTGACGACGGACCCCCCACACCGATAGTTACCATTCATGTAGAGTTGGGCATGCCAGGGCCATCCGCCCACCCTAGCCAGGCTGCCGTCAACAATGTAGGAATCTATTAGGCTGGAAAATATTTTCTTCTTACCGCATTCTGTCAATAGGTTGTACAATTTATTATGATTAATATAATTATAAATAAAATATTAATTAAAATAAAATTAAATGTGATTCCAAAGGTTATAACAGTATAGATAGTAATTAGAAAATTTTTATCATTCAAAAGTTTAAAAATAATTTTGTTGAAATAGTAAAATTACCTAAATTGAAACAAAACAGCTTTACGTAGATATCATTCTCACATGTCGACCTGTAAGTTATAAAAATTTAGAATCAGCAGTAGTAGTAGCAGCAGTAGCAGAAGTAGTAGTAAAAGTAGTAGTGATAATAAGCCGCTGTAGCAGTAGTATTAGTAGTAATAGCAGTAGTGGTAGCATGCTAACGTCTTCTGAAAAAGTTGCAAGAATTCGCTGATATTTCTCATTGAGATTGCTCCATTAACCGTCAGAATGTTTGAAGCTTTCATGAAAACTACATCAGTGAAGTTGGATATACTGATTCATATTTTGGGGTATAGGTTTCAAGATTAGTAATTTAACAACAATTATTAATAATTAACTAAAATTGAACGACTGAAATAAAATTTTTACTGTATCGTTACAACCGCTGATCGATTTTTATCATACAATGTTGTGTGGGTGGGTATATATTTAACTGATAAAAGTGGAGATAATAATATTAATAACAATAATAATAAAAATAATAATAAATAATAATAATAGAAATATAAATAATAAAATTATAGCAACCCGTATCCTAGTGACTTGCATGCGAAATCACTTAGCGTTGTAGACCAATCAGCAGTGAAGCAGAAGTAATACGGCATCTCGCCATTATAAACGGTCGTCAGAATTTGGTTGGTAGAAGTTAGACTTACTGGAAAATGTGCGTGTGTGCGTGTGCGTGTGTATGTGCGTGTGTGTGCACGTGTGTGTGTGTGGGGGGGGGGGGGGTTTGTTTAGCGGTTTTGTACATAACAACGCCGTCATAACATCTTTCGTAGCTACTTTACGAAGAATCTAGAAAACATATTATTTATTTAATCGGCGCAGTGGCATAATGGTTAAGGTGCCTGGCAGTGCTTTTGCATTAACCAGGTTCGATTACAATGATACTCTCACCTGTCACGTGCAATGTGTGGAACGATGCGTTGGTTCATTTATAGTTCTAAAAAATACGGAAAAATTGTGAAAATAAAATTTATATTACCCTTTCATTACAACAGCCATAAATACAAATATGGAAAATACCATAAAATTCAAAATGTACCCACAGCATCGAGCTTCATCCGAGCCATCCAGACAGTTCCAGACACCATCGCATCGTAGCTGGTTTAATATACATCTCCCCGATTTCGTACATTTGAACTGACCACTTGGGCATAGCGCTTGTTTAGATGGAGTTGTTTAAAGATAAGAATAATTATTTAGTAATAAATTAATAAATAATAAATTATGTGTTATAAATTATAGGCCTTGCCATAAATTTAACAATATAACTCCTGATAGTAAACGCT